TCCAGGATTTCGCAATATATCCTCTCATTGTCCGCTGTTTCATTCTCATCAACATCGGAGCTGAAAATCTTTTCTAAAGGTGTAGGTTTTGTAGAAAAAACACTATTTCAAAGTAATTTAATTGATAATCACTAAGGAGAAAGGAATGTTTTCACTTTTATACAGAGCCCTGCGAACGTGCAGCCGCTTGCCTCGGTGATCGCAGTGCCCTGTTTTATTTTAATCCAAGATGGCGGCCAAGGGTGCGACTAAATTTCAACTTGGCAGGAAATTTTGATTGGTTGGCTCTGGTAACGTCATTCTGACGTATTTTAACTCCGCCTATCATGTGGTTTATAATCAAAACTCGGTCAGCGCTAAATCCCCGAACGCGCAGGGAGGTCACGTGATCGTCGCTTCATGCGTAAGCCGACGTCACAACGAAGCTCCGCCTAGCATCAACAACTTAGTTTGATGTAAACATGGTTCGCAACTTTGATTCGGAAATTTGAAATAAGTCTTTGTGGATATCTGAATATGTATGTTTGAACGATTTCGAGTATTATACAGCTGAATGGCTTGGTTATATTTCTCCGTATAAGAAAGCGAAAGAATAAATAGTGATCATTTTTTAGATTGGTCTTATAGAAAATGTAGTGCACGTAAAAGGAATCTTCAGTAATATATTCTAGTATCAGATATTTTTAATCTTATTTTTTACATGATACGATTGCTTTGTCAAGTTCACTGATTAAGCTAAACTTAGCAAAACTAGGCAAATTTAGTCTATAAATTTCTCTTTCAAAGAATATTCAGAATAAAACTGTGATTATGGTAACCTCACAGTAAGATTAATTTGGTGCCAAGGTCGGACTAGGGTTTTAAAAATTTATAGTAAACTATCACAAATTGCCTTGTGACTTGCATCTGCAAAAACGTGCCTTGTGGTGTATAAAAAATTTCTTCAAATTTTGTACATGCCAAACAGATCTCCTTTTGTGATCTAGTTTTGGCTAGCCTGTATCAAATAATATAACAAAACAGTTTGCATCATACAGGCAATCAGTCTCTTCAAAATTTGTTGCACTATGCATGAACTATCTTCTCTGTAAATACTTCTGTTTGATAGTTCATAACGTAGAGTAAACTTGGAAACATTTGTTATATACTGCTAAGTAACTTTTGCTGTATTTAATATTACTATTACATTAGTGTTTATAGAGTCTAAACTCTGAAGGGAAATATGATACCTCGTGTTTTAAAGAAATTATTCTGCACTTTGCTATTAACGCAATTGGTAGTCTATAAACAAGCTATTCTTTTTTCTAAAATTACAATTTTAAGTTTTTAAATTATTGAATATAGTTCTGTTTGGATCAGGATTATACTTACAAATTAACACTGCATTATTTTGCATTATTTAGATTATAACAAAGGACTGAACAACTATTTGCCTAAGAGGAAGAATGCCTTTGTGGAATACTTTTTATAAGATAAGTTCCTCGCTTCCATGTTACACATGGAAAAAAAACCACAGAACTCTCATACAATCAATCCATTTACTGGAATTTGAAAGTGGGTTGAACTAACAACACTCCTCAGTTTTACCAATTGCCTATTGTGAACCATTTCCATTGAAGGAAAATATTGTTAATACACATTAAATATGGGTCCCACCAGTCACTGAGAAGTTATGACCACTGAACACTGGTAGTTCAACCCAGGTTTGAACACACTCAAATGATCTAGCTGCATGGTTGTTTTTCTCCATGTATAACATGAATATGAGCTAGTTTCCCTTAGAAAGTTCTCCACAAAGGTATCCCTGTCCTTACGCATGTAGCCCTTGTGTACTTGTGCCATATTAAAATAACCTAACTTTAAATTTGAATGCACTTTTCACAGTTATGATAAATCAGACATTTTAAGGTATTTTTTAAAAATTTGTTGAACTATAGAGAAAATTACTCATTATCTGTAATATGTGTTATTGATCGTTTCGTATTCCTAGACATCCATACCCTGTAAGGTCATTAGGCCTTTAACTGTAATAACTCATTTGCATCATTGGAAAGAAACATTATATCTATTGCAACGATTCATCCACTGCCACTTGTTTTTCTATATTCTCCTTTTTCTATATAACACACATATACGTCTAAGTTTTTGTGCTTTTGTTCTCACCATATACAGAGACATCTGTTTTCAGGTAAGGAAACATATGAGAATATTATAAACTTAATATTAAAATTCCAAAATCAGAAAGAAGAAAGAGGTGCATGGTGTCTTTAAAAGCAAGCCACATTACAGTCTATGCATGTAGAATGCTAAATATGAGATTTTGCCAAAAACAATCAAAACTGCACTATGCTGTCCACCACTAGGCTAAAACATTAAAATTCTGATTGGAGGGATCATAATCTGCAGTCATGCTACTGAAAATCCAGCTGGGAGAATGCTATACATATGCCTGGGTTGAACAATAAATATTTTTGGTGACATCATGGGTTGCCACGTAAATGCTTCTTGGCGGCATGGTGCGTTGCTTCATCAATATATTCTCATGACCTATGGGAGGAGATGTACGAAAAAAAATCAACTGGCAAAATATTAGGTACTGTTCTATTATCGGGACCGGATTAACAAACGTATGCATGTACACATATATGAATATGTGTATACACATACATTCGTACTTACATATATGAACACATACATCCATATATACATGCATACATATCTATATTTCTGAATTAGGTCCTGATAAAGGAACAGTGCCAAATATTATACAGAAATAGATAAATTATGTGTTTTAGACAATACAGTGGCTATTAAAATAACGCCCTTATCAACCAGTTAAATATCCTTTACATACTTCAACACAGCCTCTTTCTGCTCAAACATTTATAGATTTAGAAATTTCCAAGTCCTTGCTACATAATGTAGAGTTTTATGAAATTAACTAAAACATACGTAATACAGAGTAATGACACATTTCTATATTTTAAAAAGAAATTAAAAGACATTCATAATTCGAGCACATCAAAATCAAAACATACTGATATGGCAACGAAATGATAAAAGGACCAACGAATCAGCTATTTCTCATAAAAAAGGGGCCGTATTTCATTTAAGTACTATACCAAGAAGATACCTTTATTTTGGTCGATCTGTGGGTTGCTAGCAATCCATAACAATAGCTAAAGACAGAAAATTAAAAAAAAATCTGTAAGCTTTCAGATTTTATATTTTTTTTTTTTTTTTTTTTTTTTTTTTTTTTCATTTCATTGTTTGTATACATACACATTTCAAGAGCATTTGGGATAAAAATACACTGCTCGACATTGAAAATGCAACACCAAGAAGGAGTGGTCAGAAATATATGCAAATTTTAGAGTAGACGCACGTCACTGAGTTATGCAAATGATGTGAAATGCGCAGCTCTTCGACGCACGTGAAGTAAGATATAAGGGAAGGAATGTGCAGAATGGGCAATATTCGTGTCATTATTTCTGCCAGACGAATTATCGAAGAAAGTTGGCTTTTGTCCCAGAGGATACGTGTAATAGGAGAGAATGCCACTATGCTTTCACTGATGTGAAATTTTGTTGAATGTCCATTTCTGCATATTCGAATGTGATGTAAAATATGTGCATTTCTTGAAAGAAAAATATAGCAAGCATCTTCCTCACTTCTCAGTAAATTAAGAATTTTAAGATTAAAATATAAATAAAATTCATCAAGATATAGAATACTGAGAGCTCTTCTTATGATGAGAGAATTCTGAGTGATTATGAATTATTAACATTTGCATGGGAAGAAATACGATCACATGGTCTCCTCGAAGCTCTTCTCATTATAAGCAAACTGTAAATCATCATTGTTGGGGCTGCCAGATATTTCAGAATAGTTTACATTGGCTATTCATCAAAAATCTTGACAACTTTAAAAAACAGGATCCATAATAATAAGGAAGGAAGAATATCACATCTTTACGAAAGCTTGGTTTAATTTATTTGATTATAGCACATAAGGGCTATCAACCTAAAACGATGGATGTCTTTGTGAAGGACTTTCTGGGGAAAACTGGCTCGTATCTACACTAGAAAAGTCTGGAATCCATCTTTGAAGTCATTTTTAAGCCTTAAATTGATATTAGCTTTTTATGAAAATACCTTGGCAGCTTCACAAGGGCTCATTCAAATTAAAATTTGAGTGTATTTCACAGGATTAAAATTTGTTCTTTAAATTTAGTGTGGATGCAATATATTTTTTAAAACTATTCAGAACAAACTTATATACACATTAAAAATTCTGAACATGCAAAAACTAAAAAAAAAAAAAAAAAAATTCCAGTAGATCTTTTGTTTAAATATATTACATGATAGTTTTGCCTTCCAAAGATTATGTAAATAATTTATATTTAAAGCAGATTCCTTTCAGATATACAATAAAATAATACAAGTTGTCACATTTTTTACAAAATGTTCGTAATTTTAAATTCATTAATTATTCATTTGAATAATATATAGAGGAACAAATATTAATTTTTTTCTAATACAGTGATGAAATTAAAGCACAAAACACTAATTATTAGATGAAATGTATTGGAAATATTAACAGAATGAATTTAAAACTGAAATCTCGTATGTTTCTGAGTGATTTAATATAAACACAAGAGTATATTGAAAAGCTATACATGTTAAAATGTTAATATTTGATATGTATTTAGTTAGCCTCTGTAATATTTTCAGAAAAATTTTCACTGCTTCTGAAATTCATATTGCACAAGCATGTTTCAATTTATGCGCAGAAATTTACTGAGCGTAAGGGGCGTATCTTTGATGTGACATCATCTTACACGCAGGTCGGATGTCACGTGACCTCCCTGCGCGTTTGGGGATTTAGCGCTGACCCACTATCATCACGGTAGTTCGTTCACCTCTGCGCATGCGCTAGCCACACAATTTCGTTAAGACCTGTTAAATCGCCAAATTTAGTCGTGAGTTGCGTTTCCTAGGGAAGAAGTAAAAATACGCTTCCAAACAAGGGAAAAAACCAGTTGTGATCAAAAGTGACTCTTGGGGTCTAGACGCTAGCATCCATGTGGCGAAGCCCGAGATAAGTGTATATCCTAGAGCAAAAAACGAAGTAAATATTTATGTTTAATACATTTAAATGAATAATTAAAAGGTATAGTTGGTAAAGAAATTACAACACTTAGCTGTTCAGAAATAAAAGCTTAAAATATTTTATTTGAGTAACATAGCAGATGCTCACTGGGAACAGAAATTTATATAAAATTATAAATATGTCAATAAAAATAATTTCACATTTCAAATATCGCTACATATTTTTGAGTGCCAGAAATTATGAAATAATTCAAATTATATTCAATTTTGGAGCTTCACATCATTGTTTTATCCATTTTAAAATGTAACTTTTTTTACTTTCCTATTTTTACTTTTTTTTTTTAGCCCTCTAAGTATTAATACCTGAGTTTCCTAAAAAAGAATGCAGGTGTAGATTTTATGAAAAATGCACAGTAGCATCAAATAAGCTTAATTCTAAAATATGCAGTTGGAAGTTAAAGACAAATTGGGGCATTACATTGTCACCTATAACTTAAAGAAAGCCATTCAGTTTATTTTTAGATGTGGACATTCAGCTGTTTTAAGTGATGCGAATAACAGGAAAAAGTCACTGAGCATTGAGTTACATGGAAATTGTACCTGAATAATTTCAATTCTTGTTTTATTCAGATAGTTTTTGAATAACAATTTATTCATTTGCCTCCAGCAACCTGTATTATAGTTATTGAAAAAGAATTAATTCATTTGCATTCATTTTGTGTTATTGATTAACAGCTATCTTAGGAACACACAGTACAGAAGTCTTGTGTATGAAAAATTACTAATGCAGTTTTTATTGTCTTAAATATGTATCTCAAAAAGATAAAAAAACATGCTACCATCAATAGGGTTGACCAATTTGTGAGATGTCTCTCTCTTAAATAATTTTATTTCATGGCATTCTCATGCACCAAACATAGCAATGTCACCTGTAGAATAAAAAGGTGACTTACAATCATAAAATAAGTGAACAGTTTATTCAAAATTTAATCAAAATAACATTGAAATTATAAATTCCGTATATCGTATACATATTGTTGAACACGTACCTGTCTTACACACTGGAATTGTAATTTTATTTTAAATAGGTTTAAATATGAGTTTTAAGTACATCTCCATTATTGGGGGCAGTAGTTGTCACTAAGTTTAAATATTGGCACAAAATGTACTTTCAAATATTAATGGCAAATTTAATGTACATTCAAAATGCAGTGCTGCTCAAAAATGTAAATGCATGTGATTATTTAAAATAAGCGAAAATATTCACATTTAATCACAGGTGAAGCAGTATGTGAAATTAATCTTCCTCCAGAAACGCCAACTTTTATTCATCAAAATAATCAAGCATAAGTTTATAGTTAAACTGTCACTGCAAATTTAAAAATATAAATAAAAAGTGAAATTAACCTCAGTAATGTTTATGTGTATGAAAATGCTTTCATAATTAATTTACATTGACTGGATTCTGGTACTGATATATTTAATAATAATAATGGTCTAATTAATAATAATAATGTTGTAATTTATATACTTAAAAATAATGTTCTAAGAAGGTAGAACAAAGCAATTAACATAATGTGGTTAATAAGCAATATTGGCACGTATAATCGTGAGCGGTAGAAAATATTTTGGCACATACTTTCCTGTAATGAAAAAATTTCCAAGTGTGCGTTCTCAATTGTTAAGTACTTTGGATCCAGTCCATCGTTCAGGATATGACTGTTCAGGATTTCAACCTGTGATTAATCACAGGTTGAAAACCATTATAAAGTTACACATAAAGCTGTTGTATATTTTGTAATCCAGTTTTTAAAAGAATATTTACATTAAAATAACAATGATTAAACATTTGCAAATCATATTGACTAATGTATATATTTTTAATTTCTAACATTCTATTTACAAAGTACATAATAGCTTCTAAATCTGTCAAGCAAATAAGAAACTACTCTGATATGCGCCCTCAAGTTGCCAAATTTCTCGCCAAACGTTTTTGGCAAGAAACTCCACACTGCCATATTACTATCTAAATTTTTTCTCTACGTTTCGAACTTTAAGCCTAAAATGTCTCCAAAAGCGCGGTTTTCGAACATGAAAAAACCACGTTTTGAACACACAATTTAAACTAAAAATACGAAACAAAAACGAAAAATTTAGATAGCAAAAATGTAAAGTTTCTAACCAAAAATATTTGACAAGAATGCATGTTCACAGCAATATGTTTTTAACTTAAAAAAACATCTACGAATGGCACAATCTAGGCAATGAACGAATCTACGAACTACTCACACCTCGCTTTAATAAATTAACATAACAATAAATTTCAAAGAATACTATGTACACAGCGTTCTATTTCAACTTTAAAGAAACATCTACGAATTGCACTAATCAACTAAATAAACTTATATAACTAAAATACTTATATAACCTATAAACTTATATAACTTATAAATAAACTAATATAACTAAAATAAATTTCAAACAATTAAAAAAAAAAAACAATAACGACAGAAATTCGTACTAAAAAAACAATGAACATAACAATTTTACAAAATAAGAACAAGAATAAAATAAAATGCACTTACCATAAATTAATGCTTTTTTGAATAGCAGAAATACCAACTTCATACCGCCACGTACTCACTATAGTATTTATGTGACAGCCAGGCACACTATCCAGAAAACTCATATTATGGTTCACAAATAAATAAAATCACAAATCCCGACTTCTATCATGTACAGCCACTAAAAATAATCTCCCAGACCCTCTTTCCAAACCTTCAAATACCCACTGCCCATCAACAGGATGGCCACGATGATATTTTCCTTTAGCCGAATTTCAGTTCAACAACTTCAACCATTTTGTCTTTCCCCCCCATCTTCGCGAACCAACGAGCTCCAGCGAAAGATTTTTCAACGTCAACAGGGTTGCCATACAACACACAATCGCGCAAAAAACCAGCACATATCGGCCCATTTGGTGAAATTAGGGCGTATATCAGAGTTGTACCACAAATAATTTATTTTTCCCTTTTGAAATATCATTTTTAATGTTCCAATATTTCTCAAGAGTGCAACAATAAAAAATTCCAAATAGTCATAAATAAAATTGTCCCAAAATTTTAGCATGAGGTGGTATACTGCCTTCAATAGTAGAGAGGAGCAAATGCTGCATGCTTCATCATATAACAAAAAATATACCATGATAGCTGTATATTAGGTATTTATTCTTCCTGTTAATAACCACAAAGCATCGATCATAGCAGGGCGTTTAGCAAGTACATTTTACAAATATGAAGTGGTGAAAGAAGATTTGTGAACTAATGCTGCAAATATAAATCATGCAGGGTCTCTGACAAGACTTACCCCATTCGTTTTGTTTTAAAGCTCTGATGGTACTTACGTATTATCGCAACCAGGTCAAAAATTCGCATAAATTGCGAAATTTGGCAACTCTACTTACGGCAACCCTATGTGTTATACGTAGTTTTGTAAAAAGAGCATGTAGAGATTCACAAAATTTTCCTGCATTTTCGTGCAAATTTTTGTAATTTATGAGAAAATAGCAGTGTACATGGATAAAGTGAAGAGTGTGCGTAATGCCATTTTTGTGCAATTCTGAGATGTTTTTTTAAGTAAAAATAAGTCGACGTGTACATGGTTATGGCGAATACGGTTTTTTTAATCAGTGCTAAAAGCAATAGCCAAAAGATTTCCGCCGAAAAAAATAATTCTGCAACTTATTCAATTCGAAACCGGAAGGGTTTAATTGTGTTTTATATTTTAAAAGAAAATAATATAAAAAAAAAAAATTAAAAATCTGTAATTAATAATGTACATTTTCTTTCTATTCATACTTTTTTACTCAAACTTACAAATAGCGTCAAAGCTTACGAATAGCGTCAACCTGGTTGCGATAATACGTAAGTACCGCTCTGATTTTTAACTGAGAGTCATAATTCATTGCAAAGTTTTATATATATAGTAATTATATAAGATTTTCCTTTAAGCTTATTTAAAAGGTAAGCTTACTTTTCACAGTTTTAAATTTGTAGGCATGCATTTGAAATAAATGTGTTCAGTTATTCTTATATAATTTCGTAATTGTTTTGTTATAAATAATTGATTTGATATGTTATAATTCATGAACAAAACTGCTCTGGTAGTCAAAGAAATTAAAAGCTGAATTTCAGTAACATGTATGTGAAGTAACTGTTTTCAGGCGTAATATTAGTACTGGAACACACCATGATTTAGAAATTATTTTATTATCAGACGCAGAATTACTTCTGCCCCTTGGCAAAAATTGCATTTCTGGCAGTACATGGATACCAAGTTTGTGCAGTTCTTTGACTTTCTATTTTGGCTTTGTGTATCAGTGATTTTTGTGCCAAAAATGCTGTTACACAAAGCCAAAATAACAAGTCAAAGAATTACACAAACTTGGTATCCGTATATACATCGACCTATTTTCACTTAAAAAACATCAGAGAAATGCACAAACTTGCCATTGCGCATTCCCTTGACTTTGTCCATCTACACATCAATCTAGTTTCACTTAAAAAGCCAAAGGAGCAGTCAAAAAAAATATATAATCTTAATAAACTACATTTTAAATCAAACAAGATAAAAAAAAGGAAATTTATCTTAACGCTACACAAAGGAAATATCCTCTTACCTTATTTAGAACTTTTTCTGACTTCAGTCAAACAAAATTCCTGGACAGCATCCAAAAACTTATTATTAAATTATCTTAACTAGAATCTGTATACTGGCGTCGCCACATAAATTCACAAAGAGTCAAAAATATCCTCCGTAGTGCCGGTATTCTCCAACATTCGACCATATGCATTTTCTTCCTACAAACAAGACGCTTATAAAGGCTACTTAGTAAATCTTCATTTACGCACCAGTCAATTAATGCTTTTTTCCTCTTTCATTCCAAATCGTACAGGAACTTCAAATTAATCTTGCCACACTCAGTAATTTGACCATCTAAACCACAAAATAAGCAGCAAACTTCTTAACTGGGACACACCACAAGCCCTTACAAATCTTTTCCCATCATTCAAATTCGCCGCAGTCATGCAACCAATTATGTCATAACAGGGTTGCCATAACATTCAACTACTCAGTTGATTGAAATTCAACTGAGTAGTTGAATGTTAAAATGAAGCAACAACTTCGCGATAATACAAGGGGCACTCTTAAATGTACTCTAACCAAAGTTTGAAATCTTGTACATCTTGGCATCCAGTTTTTAAAGACTTGTGTTGTGATATATTGTTACAGTCAACTACTGATCAGTTGGGTTGTGGATTAACTGATCCATGTCTTTCCCAAAGTAGAAACATTCATTACAGAGCAAAGGAAAGAATTTCTGTTACAAGCATCAGCGTGAAACAAACTCTGTATTTAAAATTTAAAAAAGGAAAAGTAAAATGAATTAAATAAAAGTTGAGATGGCTCATAATATAATAGTATTTAGAAATGGTTTTTACTCACAATGACATGCTTTAATTATATAGTCCATAATATATAAACATTGATAAATCCAGGACTGAAGGGAAATTATTCAGTTCAAATAGTAAATGAAACATACAGCCATTAATCAAGCATTATTTTACACCAGCTTTTATCCAAAATCAAGAGTGATGTAAACAAAAACTGCAGGAAGAGAGTAGAATGAAAACTTTTACATACCGAAGAACAGTAAGAAAATGGAAAGAGGAAGAGTGTTCACTCGTTAAAGAAAACTTTGAACATTGTTTTAGTTTATGTAAACAAATAAACTTCTGCAGATTAAAGTGTTTGAAGGTACAGGTACATTGTATTAAGTATTTTACTGTTAACTGTATTTTTGGTGATTCTTCTTAACCATTTTTGATTATTTTAGATTAACTGTGATTTAAAATAATACTTGGCATGGTCATCAGTATTTCCTTGATAAATTGGCTCTATTTTAGTATTATGTTCATGTATGCCATAAGTAAATTGCCAAATGTGAATTTTTAAATTCTTCCTTTTAGTCTAAACTGTCTTGTTTTTTCAAGTCTTAGTTGTTCTTGTTTGGGCAGATAGGGTTAGGCAACTGTGTTCAATAATTATACAGAGATGAATGTAATTTCTAGTTAGTTTCTAGGAATAAACATGCAGAAAACACAACTTGAACACACAACTTGAACTAAAAATCCCCAAAAATTTAGATAGCAAAAACGTAAAGTTTCTAGCCAAAAGTATTTGGCAAGAATCCATGTACACAGCGATATGTTTTAACTTTAAAAAAAATCTACGAATTGCAGAATCTAGGCAGCGAAGGAATCTGCAAACTACGCACACCTCGTTTTAATAAATTAACATAACAACAATAAATTTCAGAAGAATACCATGTACACAGCATTATGTTTAAACTTTAAAAAATATCTTACGAATTGCACAATCTAGGCATTGCGCACAAATCAACAAAATAAACTAAAATAACTAAAATAAATTGCAAATAATTCAAAAAACAAGAATAACAGAAATTCATAGTAAAAAAACAATGAACATAACATTCTACAAAATAAAGACAATAAAATAAATGCATTTACCATAATGGATGCTTCTTCGGACAGCAGAATGTAGTTTTAACATTCCGCCATGTACTGTCTATGATATTTATATGACAGCCAGACTCGCTATCCATAAAATTCATACTATGGTTCACAAATAAATGTTCGAAACCTTCTTTTCCTAAATCCTTGTAAGATTTCCAGCCATACAAAAAAATAGTTGTACAAGGCTCAATCCACTCTTTAATACACTGCATCCACGTTTCCTTACTTCTATCATGCACAACCATTAAAAATAATATCCCAGACCCTCTTGCAACCATGTCTCTCATTGGAACATAGGCCATTTCAAAACACGCACGATATGAACCATCGAGCAATTAACCCACTCCAGCAAAAGACTTTTCAACGTCAAAAGGGTTGCAATACAACACGCAATCATGTCAAAAAACAGCGCAGAACACATATCGCCACATTTGGTGATCTTAGGGCACATATAAGAGTAGAGCCAATAATTCATTTTAATGATTAGTTAAAGCATACTAGAGAAGTTTCATCAGTCGTTCACTTTATAGGTGTCTGCAAATAAATGTCAGATTATCTTCCAGAATTTTTTATTTCACTTTCTTGTCTTTGCAAAATGATCCTATATGTTTTAAATGTATTCATAATATAAAGTATAAACATTGATAAGACATAATTTAAGAAATAAATTTTCATCACTTTTTTTAAAATTCTGTTTATACAAAATTATTTAGTTTTCAACTCATTTCAGGTGTTGTAGAACATTTATGCATGACTCTGACTCAGAGGATGTAAGGATTTTCACCTTTAAAGTAAAGCTGTTTTATGTTTGGCAGATGTGTAGAACATCTGATACAGAAGTGTATGGTAATAAAATCTAAAATTAGTATTTATAATTAATATTTTCGATGCTTCATAGTAGAATTGTATTTAAAGTTGCAACAAAAGGCTGCTTGTGATTTTTACTGAATTCTGAAATAAATACCTTTGCACTGCTAAATGAAGATTTAAAGATCTAAAAATTTTTTTAATCATATAACTATCAATCTTTCAGTTAATTTGTATTCCTACATGATTCTTGTCTTGATTATTAGCTTTCATTTTTGATGTAGACAGTATGTAAGAAATTGTCACATATCTCTCCCTGTATGCAAGTGGTTCATCAGAACAGTTTCCTTGGTTGTGAGGTCATATTTAAATTGTCTATGTTTGCCTGTTTGAAATGTCTAGTAATTGCTACATTTGCATCTCAATCAAAGTGTGATGCAACTTGAAATAACAATATGATCTGTGAAAATGCATATATCATACTGCTTGGATTTGGTCTGCTGAAGCATGTGTTTCTCCTTAATAGTCATGTAGTGGACAAGATTGTTATGAATTATCATGAGAAATTATTGTTTGGTGATAATATATTTAAAAAATATTTCTGCTTATCAGTGTGGAATATGGGTTTGAAATGTGTCAGAAATTATTCCAAGAATATTAATTAAATGAGCTTAAGCACACACATCAAATGCCTAATAATTTCTACATTTGTATCCCAATTAAATTGTGATGCAACTTAAAATGATCTGAGTGATAATGCAATGGACTAATTTACATCATACTGGCTGGATTTGGTTCAGCTATCATATGTTTCTAGTAGTTGCCTAGTACTGTCATGTAAGTGGACAAGATTGTTATGAATTATCGCCAAAAATTATCATTTGCTGATAACTTACTTAAAAGTATTTCTGCTTATCAGTGTGGAATATGAATTTGAAATGTATAGGTACTTATTTCAGAAATGTGAATTAAATGAAACTGAGTACACCCTTTTTGGCCAGTAAGTCTATGTGTAGGAAGACTGCAGTGTGCTGTTTAAATACGAAAATTGTTTTAATGAACATATATTTAGGTGCACGCTCGATTGTAAAGCCTCATGGATGTCATATACTATTTTATCACCAGCTAACAAACGGGATCTTCAAAAGCCTCATTTTTTGAATTGATATGAAAAACCATTTGCACATGAAAGTTATTTAAGTAAACACAGGAACATTAATTTTGGGCAGAAATCCTGCAAATTTAATGTGTGTAGAATGTCAGTTGAAAGCAAGACCATTTTGAAGATGCACACAATGTCCCATACTGGTGAGAAATCATATAAATGTGATGCATGTAAGAAGTCGTTTGCACGTAAAAGCAATTTGAAGAGTCATTATCTCACTCACACAGGTGAAAAGCCTCATGCCTGCGATGTATGTGGCAAGTTATTTGCATGGAAATGTGACTTGACAAAACATATGCTAACCCACTCTGGACAAAAATTCCATGTTTGTGATACATGTGGGAAATCATTTGCTATTAAGTATCAGCTTAAGCGTCATCTTCTCGTTCATACTGGCGAGAAACCATATGCATGTGAAATATGTAAAAAGTCATTTGCTCGCAAGTCTAACTTGAAGGTTCACTATCTAACTCACACAGGTGAGAAACCTCATGATTGTGAGGTATGTGGTAAGTTGTTTGCACAGAAATCTGAACTAAGTATCCATATGTTTAGACATTCAGGAAAAACATCACATGATTGTGAGATATGTCAAAAATCATTTGGATACAAATCTCATCTTAAGCGTCATCTTCGCATACACACTGGTGAGAAACCGTATATATGCGAAGTGTGTGACAAATCGTTTGTAGACAAAAGTAACTTATGTGAACATACGTTTATCCATTCTGGGCAAAAGTCTCATAAATGTGAGATATGTAGAAAGTTCTTTGCCTTCAAAAGTGAGCTTAAGCTTCATTCTTTAATTCATACTGGGGAAAAACCTCATGCATGCAATATATGCGATAGATCATATAGACTTAAATGCAGTTTAAATAAACATATGCTTATTCATAGTGGTGAGACACATTTGATTTTCCATACTGGTGAGAAATCTCATAAATGTGATATATGTAAAAAGTCCTTTGCCTTTAAATGTGAGCTTAAGCTTCATATTTTAGTTCATACTGGTGAAAAACCACATACATGCAATATATGTGACAGATCGTTTAGACGTAAATGGAGTTTAAATAAACATATGTTTATTCATAGTGGTGAGATTGTTCAGGAACCTAATCAATGCAAGAAGACATTTCCAGAGTCAAGTTATCTTTGTGAGAAACCTTACAAATGTGAAGTATGTGTTAAGTCATTTGCTTTGAAATCTGTTTTGAATAGACACATGAATATCCATTCAAGTCAGAAATCTTATGAATGTGACATATGTAGAAAGTCGTTTCGGTGGAAGAGTTATTTGAAAACACATTTGCTTCTCCATACTGGGAAGAAATCATATAAATGTGATATATGTACAAAGTCATTTGTAACAAAATCCAAACTTAAGAGTCATCTTCGTATTCACACTGGGGAGAAACCTCATAAATGTGATATATGCAGCAAACCATTTGCAGATTCAAGCCAGCTGAAAAGGCATCTTTTTGTTCATGTTAAGAGACCACATATGTGCAGCATATGTAAAATGTTGTTTATTCATGAAGTTCGCTTAAATAAGCACATGACTTTGCACTCTTCTGATAATACTGTTTAATATTCATTATGAAGGATGTCATATAAGGAAATTTTAAACTTTCAGAGATGTATCTTTACTCCCATTCTTGAGAACTTGTAAAATATTTGTTCCCATTGTAAGCAAATATTTGTGTTTTATTGCAAGTTGTAAATGCCATGCGTTATATGTTACATCCTCTAGTTACATTGAAAATTTATCAAGTAAAATATGCAACATCAGCATATTAAATTGCTCACAGCAGTTTACTTTAACTTGAGTCTATGTGTTTATGGACACGAATATGTTTAATTAAAAATGTGCTTAGAATTTTATGAAGTCGTATGTTTTGAGAAGGATTCCAACATGTTTGAAATGTATTTTTTAGGAATGTGCAGTTGGGGAGTTAAATATACAAGAATGCTCAGAAGTGAAACTGTCTTGTTGTATATAATATTCTATTATCTCATTTGAGAGAAAAAATATAGATTAATGGTAACAATAACTTGAAAGCAAATTTAGATAGCTAGTAATATTAATTTTATCATTTGTCAGTGTGTGAATACGTGTCTTAATTTATCTGGAAGTATGCCAGGTAACGCAATTTTGTAGTCATAAAAAAAGATTACATTGTTATCTATAAATATTGTTGCCACTTGTTCAATATATGCGAAATATGTAAGTTTTAAATGCAGTATTAATACAAAATTGATTTAATGTTCTCATCACCGACATATTTTTAACATAGAATGTCATATCAGTTATATAAAAATGAAAACATGAATTGATTAAAGAGGGACAATCTTATGCCATATGAATAATTTATTAATATGTGCATTTAAAATGTGACTTTTTTAAATTTGTTTTCAAATTTTTAAATGTACTATTAATAAATACTTTCATTTGAATCTTCCATGTTCATTGTCTTACTAAATCTTTGTCCATAAAATTATTCATATCAATTTTATCACATCTACGAGGCATATTCGGAAACTAAGTACCATTTTGAAAAAAAAAATAGTAAAACAATTTTTTCAAATCCAATTTTATTTTTACATAAAAATACATTCTTAAACTATTTTTCAACATGGTTTCCGCCAATGATCAAACACTTGTCATAGCGGGTGACCAGTTTTTGTATACCATCGTCAAAGAAACTTCCCGCCAGTTTCGATAACCACGACTCCACGGCATTTTTTGTGTCATCATCAGATCCAAAGCGCTTGCCACCAAGCTTGCGCTTCATGTGCAGGAACAAGTGATAGTCGGACGCCGCCAAGTCCGGGCTGTACGGCGGGTGATCAAACTGCTCCCAATGAAACTGTCGAATTAACGATGGAGTGACACCAGCAGTATGGGGCCGAGCATTGTCATGGAGCAACACAATTCCTTTACTGAGCATTCCTCTTCGTTTGTTTTGAATTTCACGCCTTACTTTTGTTAAAGTCTCACAATATCATGCCGCATTAATGGTTTCACCTCTGGGAAGAAATTCAGTAAGCAAAACGCCTTTCCTATCCCAGAAGACAGTGCACATGATTTTTGTGATGACATTGTCACTTTGAACTATTGTTTTTTCGGAGAATGAGTGTGTCTCCACTTCATCGATTGTTGTTTTGATTCTGGTGTGAAATGACACACCCATTACCTGTCACAATTTGGTTTAAAACGTTTTTTCCCTCATCACTGTACCATGTGAGAAATGTCAGGGCACTACCAAGTCGCTTTGTTTTGCGAACATCAGTGAGCATTTTTGGAACCCATCGGGAACACAGTTTGCGATAATTCAAGTGGTCAGACACAATTTCGAACAAAACAGTACTTGAAATTTGTGGAAATGCCTCTGAAAGAGTTGTAATTGTGAAGCGTCTGTTCTCATGAATTGCTTCATCAACTTTCCTTACCAAATCATCGGCGACAACAGAAGGTGGACCACTCCGAGCCTCGGCGTGGACATTTTTTCGACCTGCATTAAACATTCTTACCCACTTTCTCACCATTCCATCACTTATTGTGTATTCACCATAAACTTCTGTCACTTGACGATAAATTTCGGCCGGTTTAACATTCCTCGCATTCAAAAATATAATCACGGCACGAATCTCACAGTCAGCGGGAGAACTAATTGTCTTAAACATTTTGAATGTGCACAGCAAACTGAAAACACAACATAGAGCAACTAAGATTGCAACAATTGAAAGTCAGTGAACAAGAAAGACTAGTGCGCATGCACGGGACGGCTACCACAGCGCTGCGACGGCGCTAGAATGAAACGGTACTTAGTTTCCAAATATGCCACGTATTACAGATATATTATCAAAACAACTGTGTTATTTTTAAGTTTGTTATGTATTTTACTCTGAATAAATACTTTCATATTTCAGTCTTTCTTGTTCTGTTTATAACGCTTTGTCTTAAAAATTATTTTAAAGTCTGTACATTGTAGCATCTGTTGCAAATATATAATAAAAAAAATGCATTATTTTTCCGCTTGTTTGGTATTTTAAGTTGTAAGTATCTCCTGTAATATATTTTCTCAGGATTTTACCATCTGCCTGCATGGTGCATTTGGTAGCAGATCCGGCTAGCAGTCGTGTGGTTGAGTAGTCAGATCTTGGTGAGGGCATCAGTCACTGATCACTTTTCCATCTTCAAACCCCCCCGGGGGTCGACGTAGAGAACTCTGCGAAGCTACTGGTTAGGATCTGTACCTAGGCAGTCTCGGCAAGGGGGTAAAAAATTTATGAACTGGTGGTTCGAAGGCGCTGGGAAAGGTCACTTATTGGCCGGCCTCGGAGTCTGGCACGTCCTAGGCGGCGTGGTTCTAGTAACCCGGGGGTCTCCCCCGGGGTTGCAGGGTAATGTCCCGCTGCGACGGGCTCGCCCAAGCGACTGGTAGGTGCATTAGACGACCGGTGCCGCCCCGGGTGCGTCCCAGGCGGTGCGCTGCTCTCCTGGAGGGTAATAGTGGAGGTTGAACCACCATGATGTGCCCGAAGGGGGAGTGGACCCGGAATGAGATTCAGTTCTCGATAAGGGGAATGCCTAAAACTTCTTCTTCTTCCATCTTCAAAAGTATTTGAAATAGTTCCATGGTAATGCCGAAACTAAATGTGGTGAAGGAAAATTTGTTGACACCAGGATCTGGCATTCGGTTTGTCGCCTTTCCAATTGCCCTTTAAAGTGGTAGAAAGGTAATGTAATTTCTTCCTCCTTAGGATGTTGCTTTGTGTAATTGAAAGCACATCTGGCTAGCATTTTGGAGATCCTGACATTGAATCCCAGTGAGTGCATTGCACATTTTTCGTGTTTTGTCTTCAACAAATTTAATCACTGTACAAATTAAAAAAAAAAAAAAAAGACTTCATCTCACCCTTCTTAGCAGCTTTTGTTTTGTCAAGAAAATACAGTCAAAAGTCATTAATCCAGACACCCATAATTCGGAATGATCTATAATCCGGACCTCGAAGCTACAAACTTTCTGCGCATGCGTCAACGCATAATGCATTAACACATGCGCATAGGCATTTACGTATGCACGTAATACCTTTACGCATGTGTGTGCGCATGCGCATAATACCTTTACACATGCGCGTTTAACGTATAACGGACAGTATAAGCTAAGTTAAAATGATCTAATTATCTATTTCAGTTAATGTTGCAGATTGCATTGTTCCTTAATTTTTGAATTGGATCCAGCTTATTATTTTTTGCAGACTGTTAGAGTAATTTTATAAAAGTTAAGCTTGAACTTTCGATTATGTCAAAAAAAGTTTCCAATTCTGGAGCTGCCAAAGGATCTACAAAGTGAAAGCATGTTTCGATGTCCATCTTACAAAAAGTGGAATTGCTGCAAAAAATGGATAAAGGCATATCCTTTGTTTCACTAACCATTCCGAAATCTGTTTATCAATTTCACGGTGCTCTGCAGGGGGGGGGGGACGTTGCTGTGCGCAATGAACTGGAAGTTGATCTGTCAGCACTATCCATATCTTCAGGGCAGATGTTTTTATTTTATTTGGCTTATAATTCCTTACTAAATGTAGTATTTCATCTCGATGTACTCCGTCTTTGATATGATTAAATCAAGTTCCTCGTCATTATAATTCGCTTCCGATAGTGAAGAAAGTGACACAGAGGTTATTGAAAATGAAAAAATTTCGATTGACGAATTAGTCGGTATTCTCGACTCAGCAATTATAGGACTTGAACAGCGTAACTTTGTAACTGAACAAGAAATTATGTCTGTGTATAGAATTAAAGAGAAAGTATTATCACATAAAACGAAGCAACTTGAACAACTTACATTGAAAGAAATGTTTAACAACATAAACAAATAAAATTTTATACAAAATAAAACAAATAAACCTTTTTTTTTAAATTTTGATACCCTTTAGATCATAATTGTTTTCTATTTCATAAATTACGCTTTCATATTTTTAATTTTATAATTTCTGCATGCCATCTTATAAGATTTAAACTGATGATCTATAATCCGGAATCGCCGAAGTCCTGACGAGTCCGGATTAAAGACTTTTTACTGTAGTAACTGATAAACACCAGTTATGGGCTACCTTTTGAAGCTATTACTTGTTAAGATTGATGCCTTTGAAAATGTTATAGTATCTCTTAAAAGTTTTTGGGAAATGAAGCTATATTCTGGCTTCAAATTTAAAGCAAGTGGATTAATTGAGTACTTAAAAAATTCCACTTGCCAAACAGAAGAAATGAACTCTTGTATGGCAAAATGACTGCTTCAGATTATGTAGGATGTTGGCAAGAAACTGATGCAGTTGCTAAGGTGCTTGCTAATTAATTTGTAAATACCTGAAAAATTCCAAATTTTAATGAGATATAACTTTGTCACAGATGAGATAGCTCTTTCTTTTTCTTCACATCATTTTTAACACTTGATTTAAAAAAAAATTCCTAATAGTTTATATATAGAAGTATTTATCATAATTTTTGTTGGAAAAGGTAACAAAAAGTATTTCGAGTAACTCTACAGTGGTGTGCAAACTAAAATGAAAATTTATTATGACCAGGATTTCAGATGTACCTTCAGCGATTCATCTTTTCAGTCGCTCTCAGAGTAGGCAAGAATGTATAGTATTTTCTACCTTCATACTTTGTGCCTTCGTATACTTGAAGCACTAGACTTTCTTCCAAGAAAATCCCATTTTATGTGATTATAAATTGTGAGGAATTCATGATATAAGGCTCTATTTAGAAATGTGGTAGTAAATGATGTTACCCTTATGTAATTTGACAAATAAAACAGATTTCACTTGAAAGTAATGGTGGTGAGCATGAGGATTAATAAACAAATGAAATCAAGATTTAGATGTCTGTCTAGTAGAATTCATATGGCAGCAAGAAATTAAATCTTATTTGTAAGATTCTTACTGAAATTTTGTTTGCCTGAAGTATTTCGGGATTCCTGAATTTTGATATTTTTTTAGTATCAGGGCCGGCAGAAGCGGGCCTGCAAGATCTTCTTTGCACGTGGGTGCCGACCAGCTGATGAACCGAGGTCTTGTTTTTGTTTTAATGCAAAAGAATGTGCACTTACCAGGGAAGAAAAATAAATGTATCTTGAATGCTACATAGGGCAGGGACCATGGACATTTGCAGCCCTCACCTTTCCTCTCCAGCCCACACAAATACCTTGCCACAATCCAATGAGTCGTTAGGTACAGTGTCACACAAAGAAGTTCAAGTTCCAAAAGCCGTGGGAATTCAAGCTGTGAGCAAGTTTAATCTAGGTAATACAACACACTAACCACCCACAGACACCATGCACAGAATAACCTTTCTGAGCATGTAGTACCATATAATGGTCATTTTCCATGTGTCTAGAAAGTCGCGTGTTGTATATCGTCTACACATTCCTTCTTCTTATCTACTGAGTGGTTGGTGAAGAAAATTTTGATGTACGATAACTTACTACTATTGGAAAAGAAAAATCCATTTGATGAAGTACGTACTTATTTAATTTTGCTTAGTACAATTTCTGTTTATCCTTATTTAATCAATTTTATTATATTATTATTTAAAATGTGTATGGCCTTTTTTTTTTCCCTAGAAAAATTTCCTGAGGAGTGGAACTGATTAGCCCTTTCTTTGGGGACAAATTTGTCATTTCCCCACATGTAAGAATGAAGACAGGTGCCAACTTTTCATTTTCTTCACCGAAGTTGGAGAGGGGGGTAAGATTTGTATGGATGAAAATTCAAAGTCATATAGAGGATTTATTTTCCTTTTTCATAGGGAAGCGGTCTAAGTCCAAATTCTCAACATTTATGTAATTTATTTAATGACTGAACTCCCAATCAAGCATCTTGGTGTGTTCGTGCACATGTTTGTACAGAAAGGCAAAAAGGATATAAAAGGCCGCATGGGGAGCTCACCCATTAGGCATGTGGGCAGAGGGGCCCGAGGTAAAGAACTGAAGTTTTATATTCAGTTACTTCCATAAAACGTTGAGAAACTTTATTAGATTTTTAATATTAAGTTGGCTTCTGGGACTTTACCCCGTATCCTGCTGAAGAATGCTGCATCAGATCCTCTGAGGACAAGACCTTGTTCTTCTCGTTAACGGTTGAAATTTCAAAATTTGATTAATTCCCTCGAGCTAAAGACAGAATTGTCTACATTGGTCATTTAAGCTTAGGTTTACAACACACAGAATTCATGCCAGTTGTAAACGTATATTTTTTGTATATTGGCAAAATATTTTGCACTTTCAACCTCTGAAATTTATCAATTATGTGCCTGGTCAAAGCCGCCTAAAATAGAAGGCCTCCCAACCAAACTGTGACGTCACGCAAGTTGGTGAAACAGTTCGTCGCCATTCCGTTGACCCACCATGTGCTTAGAATGCTTGGTCAAGCAGTCAGTATTATCTTCTACTGTGTGTTTGTGCTCTTTTGGTTCTCTCGATTTGATTATCAACAACCTGATAATTCTCTCGGATTATTTTAGCAAAATATGGTAAATACATGCTGTATTCCGAATTGTAAGGGCAATTATCCAAATGGCCCAATTGTATCTGTTTTTAGTTTTCCAAAATGTCCTGAACTGAAGGAAAAGTGGTTAGCAAAGATACCGCGAGATTTTGAGCCATCACCTCATTCCAAGGTAAGTTTGAGTTTTATTCAAAAAATTTTTTCTCTTTTATTTTACCTTTCAAAATGTGGTATTAGTCTTGAATTGCTATTAAATTTTAAATAATAATTAAATAAGTAAAGAATTCCGATTTTATGATATAGCATTAGTACTTTGGCATAACGAATTATTACTTATTCAAGATACTACAAGGATAATAAGTAATTTAAATTACTTTTTACTTATATTTGTTACTCTTAAAATAAATTAGTTTCACTTAAGTCAGTTTATGATAAATAACTGTAGTAAAAAGAATGAAAACCATATTTGTAAATATATCTCGTCTTTAGTTATGACTATTTACACCGGCCCCAAAAAATGTCATAATTTTATAAGAAATAAATCATTGATGTAATTTATATACTTTTAAACAAAAATTCAGAAAAGAGTGAAAGTTCAGATAATTTATCCCATAAAAGAGTATAAGTTTAGATTATTTATCCCTTAACTTTACATTGAAAATAAATGCATTTAAGTAGTTTTAACAAGAGGTAAACTACTAAATTATTCAATTAATTACCTTACATGAAGAACAGAACATATTATTCTCCTTTATGTAAGGCTATTTGGATAGCAGAAACATTTTTCCTTTACAAAATGCATTAAAACGGCAATGTACAGATTAGTTGAATGAGTGTTTTTGAATTTTTCGTTTTTGTAACATGTAAAACATGAAACAGTTTTCGTTTGGAAATGCTCCACGAAAACATCTATTCTCTTAGGCAGATAGTGCTTCATTTTAATTAACCAACATATCAAATATACGAACTCGAAAAGTTAGAACTATATTATGTGCTCTGAAATCGGCAGCGTATAATGGGATTAATTTTCTTTCAGCCAATGTAACTAATTGACATTAAAGTAGATTTGGATGACGTAAATTTGCTAATTATCACTTTTTATGCATGATCATTTAAATTGTTGAAATATGTTAGGGAGTAGAATGCTATGTAATTGAATTTTTTTTTCTTTTATTTTCCGCTGCTTAATAAAACACATTCGAACATCATAAAAATTGAAATCAAAGCTGAAATGAGCAAAAAAAATTTTTAAGTTAATGATTAAAGTTAATACAAACTTTTTGTTGTAAAAGTTAAAGTAAATTATATGATGTTTTAGGTGTGTGAACTTCATTTTGCCGATGCTGCCATCAGACGCACTACTCAAGCATTTGATGAAAAAACGATGAAAACTATAGAAATAAAATTAAAACAACCTCGTTTGCAGAAGGATGCTGTTCCTACTATTTTTCCCAATTGTCCAAAGTATTTATCATCTATTCCAGCAGTGCGAGAGCCTGTAAGACAACACCAGACTGAGCAACGACACATAGAAGCTGCTATCGCTGAAAGTATTAAATATCAAAAAGAGTATGAATCTAGATATAATTTTAATTCTTTTAGTGACTGTTTAAAATGCATAAATAATTCTGAAATTCCAGATGGCTGGATTTTTGTGCATAAGGAAAATAACGTTTATTTTCATTTTGTAACATATAGCCCACCGACTGCAGAAATGGTGTTTTCAGTAAACATTAATTCTGATTTACAAATGACAGCTTTCACAAAAGATATCCCTATTAATGTTGTAAATAAAATTGGTCTACCATTAAGTATAAAATCTGTACATGGAATTTTTTATGTTCTAAATTATTTAAAACTCAATATAAATGTGCCCACTGATAATCTTGAAAGCTGTATTAATTCTACGAAACATTGTTTAAATAATTTGAAAAATTTGGTTAATGAAGAAAAAAAAAGTGCTGTAAATTTTTTAATGTGATATCATTACTTGGTAGCAGCAAGCATCATAGTATGTGTTCTCATGAATTTTTAATATTATGTTGTCTCATTTTAACAATTTCTCCCCATGCATATAGATTTTAAAGACATTCATGCATAGCTACTTTCCCTCATCCAAATACTTTGCTACGATTATGTTCAAAGTATAACTCAAATCCCATCTTAGAACAATCAGAAGATAATTTTCTTAGCTATATTAAACAAAACAAAACAAAACAAAAAAAAAATTTGTAACAATAGATGACAAAAACTTCATACTTCTTATTGATGAAATACATATTAAGCCTTACCTAGATTATAAAGGAGGTAGGATTTTGGGTTTGGATTTTTTGAATGAAAATGTAGCTAACAGTGCATTTGTATTTATGATTCAGAGTATATCATCGAAATATAAAGACGTTGTTCATATACTACCCGTTAAGAAAATCACAGCAGATATATTATTTCATTACATAAAAAAAATTATTTGTGGACTAGAAGAAATTGGAATACACATTTTCTGCATTATAACTGACAATAATGCCATAAATCAGAAAGCTGTGTCATGTTTTGCCGATCCTCCAAAGTCTAGCATTGTTTACCGTCATCCCATGTCGAATGAAAAACCATTGTTTTTTATGCTAGACACAGTGCATTTAATAAAAAGTATACGAAATAATTGGTTAAATCAAAAGAATGAGGGAAAATGTATGTTTTATCCTCCATTTGCATCAAACATGGCTGGAGCAAATAAAGATAAATTAAAAACAGCTTCACTGCAAGTACTCCGAAAACTTCAACAGATCGACTCACCTAATTTAATACATTACGGATACAGTTTAACCTTAAAGTCTTTAAATCCTAGTAACTTGGAAAGACAAAATGTGAAATTTGTTCTTCAGATATTTAATGCATTTGTTGTGGAAGGTCTGAAACTTTTAGGCGAACAAAACAATTGGCCTGACTGTTCTTCTGTGTTCATGACTGTTTTTCTACAGCTGAATATATACATATATTTTCTACCTGGTTTGAAATTATGAATGTGAAAACGGCCTTTCAAAGGACACAATAAACGCAATGAATTTCAAAAACCCCTCCGTATTGATGATAAACGAATGCAATTTTTATATACTTTTTTGAATTGGCTGGATGTTTGGGAATCATATACATGTGTAACTGGCACACTGACACGAGAAACCCACCAGGCACTGAAGCATACAACATATGCTGTTATCGAAATTACTCACTACTGTATAGAAGAATTGAAATTAGATTATGTTCTGACTGGAAAACTTCAGACCGATTCTCTGGAAGACAGATTCGGTAAATATCGCAGATTGGCTGGAGCTAATTATAATGTTTCCATTACACAAATTTTTGAAAGTGAAAACAAACTTAGATTGCAAAGTTTATCAGCTTTATCCTTACAACACTCTTTTCTTTATTGGAAATAAATAATTCAAATTATGAAGAACCCTTGGATGAAAGTGAAATAGCCCTTTGGCTAAAGCTGATTTCTGTCGAAGAAAATGATTTTCAAAATATACAGTCTTTACTTCCCGCACTAATATATGTTGCTGGATATTGCTTGTATGCAGCTAATAAAAAAATAAAATGTTCTGAATGTTATCAAATAATGGCCATAGATAACACTATAGACATTTGCGAAAAATATGTCTTCATAAGAAACCTGGATAGAGGAAATCTAAAATATCCTTCCGAGGAAGTTATTCAGATTGTAATTTACAATTACATTATAATCACAAAATTATTATCACCTGACCACAAAGTGGATTTTTGTGAAGTCCAGAATCAAAGATCACTTGTGTTTAAAATTACATCAGCAATATTAAGTTCTAAAGAAATATATCTAGAATCAGTAAATTGTCCTTCAAGTCATTCTTCAGAATTTTTAAGTTCAAAAATTATTTGGCCTTCAACAAATATTTTATTAAAAAATTTTTGTAGGAAAAAAATGATGAAATTCAAAAAACTTCAGGCCAAAAAGACAACTTGAATCTGTGTCTAAAAAGCTCAAGCTTCAGACATTAATAAAATCTTAAATTTACAAATATATATATATATGAGGTATAAATTGAAATGGAAAAGTTAAACATACGTTCTTCATTTCATTTTTACCTCCTCGTACTTGTTTGATAAGTATGTAGATATTGTATTTAATGTATGTATATATTGTATGTGTACTCGAAATATTTCCTAGTCTATGATATTATTATGCATTGTTGTTTTATTTCTTTACTTTGTGCATAAAGTAGTTTTGTGTGTTTTTGGACCTATTGCTGTAAAATAAAGGTAGTAAATTAATATATATATAACACAAAGAGAGATACATAACATATTGCATTCTTTGCAAGAATTTGTGATAAAATGTACATATTTCATTACACTTTTTAAATAGCATTTATATGCTGTTCTAATTTAAAAAATCATGGTTGCATTTGGATTTTTTGGAGTGAATGAATTTTCCATGAACAAATTTGAAATTGTATGTACAAATTTGAAATGCAGCTTTAATCTATTTTACTATTTTGAAAAATGGCACGTTTTTAACCTTGAATTGTATATGAAATCTAATAAGATTTTATTCGGCAAATGTAAAATAAACTGGTATTTTATCATTCCATTAATACCGTTAGTCAATTCTTAATGTTTATAATATTTATGTAATTATATGTATTGTGTCAATCTTCTTAATTTTAACTAGGCCTGTGTATAAATTTTTTCGGAACAACTAGAAATTTTTTTATCTGCATGAATATTCTCTGGTTCAAAAATTATATTTTCCATCATTCCTTTTAATTAGCTTAGCTATAGTCATTTCTCAGTCATACAGGTCTTGCAATTTCTAGAAAAAATTAATCAGATATAATTTTTAATAAAATTATTGTAAAATTCAATTTTCTATTTTTGAATCACTATGTTAATATTAATAAAAACAGTTCTATGATAAAAGTGAGAAAAATTAGCAGTGCTAATTGGGAAATAACCGCGCCCTAAGCACGCACCAAAAAAGCTTGTATAAACGAGCTTAAAGGTTAAGTCCCTTTTTTATCAACGTACTAATTTACATTGCGTTCTCTTGACGCTTACAAACGGTGCCAACTCGGCAGTCAAATAAAATAAAAACCTGAAAAGAAATTAAGACATATTCTAACTACGATTCTCCTCTCAAATAACTAACTCACCGCGTTTTACAACGGCGGCTATTCACAGACTTGAAGCTCATGGAACAATTGCAACTACTTCCCGCCAAGCACATGGCCGCAGCGGGGTTTTTCAATCTCTATAACTACCCCGCGCTCGCTAAGTAAGAATAACTCTCTCTCACCGACTTGTTTCCTTCTATTTAAATCATACTACTTCCGCTGATATTTGAATGCTTGCGCTTCTACTCAAATTTACATATTCTGGCATTGGGTTCCAGGGGAAAGTAGGATTGACAGGAAAAGATAGTTTAAACTTAAATAAATGTTAGTTAAAATAATAAAACCTACAATTGTTAAATGCTTGTCGTTTGAGTATAGCTTCTAGAGGGCAATTTTAGGATATTTGTAACGCTGAGTGTTTGTATTTGCATAGTTATGTAACTTAAAATGAAATTATAACTTTTTAGAAGCTAAGAATTGTCTGTTTAATTTTATCTAATAAAATTTAAATGTAATGAAATGAACTAGTAATAACAAGGACCTTCAAGTTATCAAGTCAAAAGATCTACAGACAACTAATTTCCCCACAATATGTTACATAGGTCTCATTTTTTGTACTTTATTTGCTCTTAATCATGTTTTTTATATGTGTACTAATACCACTTTCTGTAAAATGCAATATACAACTTCTACAACTTGCAACAATATTCAACATTATGTAGAACCTTCCAGTGCATTTTATTAGTATTATTTTGCTCTATTTAAAGGTCGACTGAAAAATTAATACTGTATATTTTATCTTTCGGCTTTTCCAGGCAAAGAAACAATGTGCTAAAACATCCTTGCATGGAAACTTGTATCTTCAATAAATACAGTTTATTAAAAACGCAGATATTTGAAATCCCGCCTGTTATGCGATTTCAAATATCTGTTACTGTAGGCATTAGTTTAATTTTAAAAAACTCTGCAAGAGGTGTTTTAAATATCTCATTACGTCGAATTTTAAATGATGACAACGTGATGGGAAATGATGAGCAAAGAGGTAGCATATCTCGTCTCAGGACTTAGAAGAGAAGGGCTAGCTCATAGAGCTTTTCCCCCTGAAGCAGAAAGTGAGAAGTGATGACTAGCCATGATGACACTGAGCCGCCAATATAATTCACAGCTTGGAATTGCGTTTTTTGAACCGCGTTTAAATGAGCTGTGTGTGAAAGATAGCTATAATTTGGAAGAAGCAATGTTACTGCTTATGCATTTAGACTGAACCATTAAAAAATTTAATAATGCTTACTCATTTTAAAATAAGATAAAATGTGCTACTCTTTTAACATAAAGTTCCGTGTTTTTTTTTTTTTTTTTTTTTTTTTTTTTTTATTTTTTTTTATTTGCAGGGTTTTTTTTTATTATTCATGTTTATTTCTAATCATTTCTTATTTGCCTGCTAACTGAGAGAATTTTTATACTGCTTCTAAGATAACTATAATAGCAGCTATTTAAATTTACTCAAAACCACTTTACATGACATAGGTTTAAACATATATCACATATATGGCAAATTTCTGCTAACCTACGTTTTGATTTTTGCCTTTGTAAATTTACATTGTTTAATTCTCTTCGATTCAATATAATAGATATTTTTTAATAATTGTAATTTATACTTATATCTATATTAAAATTAAATAAATTATATAAAATTGTACCTTAATTTGACAAATATCTTTATTCAGAGTACCTAAACAGTTATTTAATTTTCAAAAGTGTAGTAAAGGAAGCAGGTCTTTTTTGCCAATTACTTTGATGTTTTATACTATTATATTTTATCTAAATGCTAATCTGCACAAAATCTAATCAATAATTAGTTTAAAAGGATACAATAAGAATCCTTTAACAGTACTTAACAAAATTAGTTTGTTAAATACTTTATTCTTGTTTGGTACTATTCATAATACCGAAGATATTACGATTAACTCATAGAGTCAGCTTTCTGATTTCCTGTGCGGTAGAGTATACCTTTTGCGGTACTTTTTGAAATAATGTTTTCTCTGGAGCGACTTTTTGTCTCTCGTTTCCCTTGACCATTAAATAATTTGGGTTTTAGTTTGTGACCAATTTGATTTCTTCTCAATTCTATTTAACCTCTTTAATAAAATCAAAATTAAACAGTTACATCTTCTAAAACAAATCCTTTATCTAAAACGCGGTTCTCAGTAATTGGGCAAAGCGCGAAATGAGACCTCTGATTAAAACAACTGCACATTTTAAAAGAACCAACTTATCCAGTTTAGAGTCATAGCAGAGTTTTCAATCTATATGCATTTCGTCGAACTGAGACGCATATTTTTTCTACAATACAAATATTCGCCTCTTTCCTTCTTTAGAGTAAGAACATTACTTTGAATTCTTGGACTACACTAAAATTTAGAAAACACTAAAAATAAAATAAACACCATTTCTTTAATTTGATAATACTAGGTGAAGATATTCCAATTTTTTTCTTAATTTTTTTTCTTTCCAAAATTCATAGCTTTAAGATGACAGAGCTCTTATGACGATGCAACGTGAAATATTTTCACACTAGTCCACCTGATTTTTTCTTCTTTTTCAGTATGCATTCTGCGTCTTTATAAAATAGGCTTTAGCATTTTTCCAATTCTCCGATTTGTGCTCCCCCCCCCCGAATTTCGCTATTGAGATTTTTAATTTCTGATACCAATTTCTGTCTAATGTCGTCCACCCTCTTTGTCGCTGAAACAAACATCTAAAATTTTTCTTTTCTATTTTTCAATACTTTAATTACATTTAATACAATTTTCTAGGATATTATTTTGTTCTTCAAATTATCAATGCATTCTTGTTTATCCTTAAACATTCAGATGATCTACATTTTTATTTGTGAGTTTTATTTCAAATCATTAAAATTGATTTATTTGTCATCATCAATTTCAATTTATTATTGTCATCATAATTTACTTTCGGCACAGCATTCCATTTCAACAGTTTCTTTTTGTGGCTATCCAAACAGCGATTTTTCATATCATCTTCATAAATACTGCATAGAAAATGTTCGCTGCAGATTTTTCCGCTCTTCACATTAATAGAATCTTCTCTTTGACATTGTGTATCCATTCTTTCGTCAAAGCAAACTCTCATTTGGATCCTTTGGTCCCTGAAATAAAATATCTCATCCTTTCATACTTCTGTAAGTGCTACGGCACGTTACTGCAGCGCAAAAAGCCATATTACGTAAACGATACTTTAGAATATAGAATTTAAAATAAAAACTGACTAAAATTACATATATATAAATTATTTTAAATATATACATTATTAGAAACAGATAATATATATTATTAAAATTAATTTGGGATATGTAACCTCTAGAAAAATCGTCTCGCAGCTCAATGAAACTACTGTTTTTAAAACGCGGGAAAATCAGGACAGGTGCATCACAGTGACGTCAGATTATTGCCTGTTTTATGTTTTTGCCTGGATTGTCCCCCCATTAGGCACGCATCGGCGAGGAGTCGAACAAAGATGAGCTAGCCCTTCTATTTTCCCTGATCTCGTCTATCCCCCAACACACAGCCAACTCTATAATGCTTTGGAAGCGCAAAAATCACGTGATCCAGATGGTCGATGTGTTCTTGTGGTAGTATGTGGTTGCGAACTCGTGGTCGTGGACTTTTTAGATATGTATTTTACTAGTAGTGTTATGTAAGAGGATTATTTTTTTATTCTAAAGTGATTTTAAATAACTGAAGCTTTATGCAATGGTAAATAGTTTTATCTATACTTCGTTTTATATCTTTTTAATTTTTAGATTTATTTGGGAAAATTTGTAGCTGTTCTC